GAGAGAGAGAGAGAGAGAGAGAGAGAGAGAGAGAGAGAGAGAGAGAGAGAGAGTGATACATGCTCGATCGAGCGATGTCTATGGAGTCAAGGATCCGCAAAGTGATGAAAAGGACTCGAATGGACAATGCAGCGTCAGCAAAGCATCAACAAGCAATGTACATCCAGATACATACGAAATAGCACAATGTAGCACAGCGGAAGACTCAAACCTGACTGTCAGCCAGTGTCAGGTACTGACGTGACACCCCATCACACACCACGCATGTGAGAGAGAGGGGATGGACGACATACACAGACGAAAGGTCCCTCCTTGATCATGCACATGGGGAGATACCACGGATGAGGAGATGGGGGAGGAGGTGAGGTGAAGATGGAGATGAGGGTGAAGACCAAGTTCGTGATAGCAAAGTTTAGACATAGTCTCCCTGCCGAATGTCCGATCAATGTCTGCCACAAAAATGTCGAATCAGATCCAGGGCTTCATAGTGGGATATAACCTCCGCTGGTAACCTCTCTCTCTCTCTCTCTCTCTCTCTCTCTCTCTCTCTCTCTCTCTCTCTCTCTGAAAGGAGGAGGAGGAAGAAGACGAAGGACTGGGCGAAGGAGAAGAAGATATCATCCTCCTCACGGTCTCACCTGGCGGTACGACTGTCGGAGCTGCTGTGCTGCAGGTCGCTGGCGTGGAGCGCGGCTATGGTGCCCAGGTACGTGTCTCGCCGTTGCAGGTAAGGCCTCCGCCCTTCTCCCTACCTACACCTGTACCTCGTAGCGCAGTGCTGTATCGCACAGCTCCAGCCGGGTGTCGCCCAAGAAGTGAGCTACTCGAACTGTGTGTCTGCCCTGGCCTGGCCCAGCTATGTATAGCGCTGGGCCTCTGGTGTGCCGCTGGTTCTGGCCTGAAACGGCCTCTGCCTGCGTCCCTACCGGACGTCCAGGCCCTACCTGCTGATGCAGCAGGGAGTGTCCGCTACCGGACGAAAACGAACGTGGCCGGAAAGGGCCTGGCCACGAATGGAGAAGCCCCAGAACGTGGCCTTGGTCTCAAATAGACTGTGTGTCTGTTCGGACGTACTGCAAGTCCGAAACGACGCCTGGAACAGACAAAAATAGAACAGCAAATAAATAAGTAAATGCTGCCTCAAAATACTGTGGCCCAAAGGCTGGCAGTGGCCCTCCAGGGCGCAGGCCTCAATGGCGTGCGGCCTGGGGGCCCCTAGCAACAGTCGGGCCCCTGAAACGGGGCCCGTGTGCAGGCTCAGCATGTAACACAGAGAGAGGAGGAAAAAGAAGGAAGTGAATGAAAACATGTGAGAAGATATGATCAGGGGAAAAAGTGGAAAAACAACTGAGAACTCCAAAATCAGATGTGAGCAAACGTAAGAGAAAGGAGATGGCCAAGAAGAGGAATCGGCAATGAAAAAAAAACGCAAAGCAACAAGAGAGGGATGTTCATGTCAAAGATTATAATACACAAGCAAAGATCTGACAGTGGCAAGAGAGCAGGGGCAGGGGGTAGTCATGAAAGGGCTGGAAGAGAGTTGGGGACTGGTGGGAGCGTGGGAGAAATAGAGGAAGAACAAAGTGGGAGGGAGAGAAGATGTCTGTCTTGGTTCCAATATGAAGGCCTTGCAACGAATGCATTTGTGGGCAGTTGCTGTGTGGAACCCTCGACTGCAGGTCAGAGAGGAGAAGAGTACAACTCCCATCACAATCGGCGTTTTTTTGACAGTGCGTCACAATCGGCGCGGCCATATAATAACAACAACGACATCTACAAAACAGTTGTGCTAGGGGGGTGTACCGGGGTAACTCAGGGGCTGTCATATGTTTAGACCCCGGCGATCGTATTCAGGTGAAGACGGTAGGAAAGAACAGTTTTTTTTTCTTAAACCACCAGTACTTCCTAGAGTAGTGCCTGTTAACGTGCCACGATTTAAGGAAACGTACGGGCTACTATAGGAACACCCAAATTCTTCCGACTAGAAATGTTTCTACTCTATTTTTTTTCTGCGGCCGATAGCTGGGCCAAGTACTGGTGGTTTAACTAAGCTATATTCTTCTCTCAACTTCACCTTTCAATATCTACCTACCACTAAGCTTATACAGGGACCCGTGCAAGCATAGCTACCTCTCACAGTTAGGGGATGCATGTTGCCCCCCGCCGTAAATCCGTGGTGGTCAGGGAGTAGGGTGGGGCTCCCGGTGGGGGGAGGGGGGGCGGGGGGTGGGGGATGCAAAGACCGAGCATTTTTCCAGTAGCTGCACCTCCCAATCCCCCAACCCCCATCGAGTAGCAGCAGTGGCTATGGCACACACAACCCACTCAAGCTCACACTCACACCCGTGTTGGTCATAGAACCTACTGATACAGATTAGGGGTAGTGAGCGGACTATCGCAGTTCGTTGGCACTTAGTGTGCCGCAGGCGGTCATGGGGCTCGAACCCACAACCTCCAAGAAGTGGTACTTCCGGAATGACCTTAGTGGTGGAATGGCGGGCAGTGACAGGCAAAAAAAAAAAAAAAAAAAAGAAAAGGTTAAGTGCCAGCGCTGTTTTTTCTCGTTTATCGGCACAGAGCAGAAATCTGTGCGAGGAAAAAGAGGCTCTGAAGAAGGGGCAGTTTAAGGTGTACGCTCCTCGCCTCATTGCCATTTGTACACAAGTGGTTAACGGGGTGTTGGGGACCCCCACTTTCAGCTCCTGAGTAACGGGTCGAAAACTGAAATTAGGGTTTGTGGGTCAAATTTGATGATCTCCACTCTATGAATTGGTGGCAAGTTTGGTTAAAA